ACACACACACACACACACACACACACACACACACACACACACGTGCACTCTCTCTCCCTCTCCTTCTCTCTCTCACACACAGCCCACGGGACAGTGTTCACCCAGTGGACCACTGTGGGGTCCTGATCAGCCCTCTCCTGACTGCCCATCAGACACAGGCCGGAGTCACCTCTTCTTCCTAATGGTGGCAGGTGGCGGCCCCCGGTCCTGCTGGCGAGCTGCCTGGCATCTTGGTGCATCGTCCACTGAACTGGCTCTCTTGGCCCTCCCTGACCCGGCAGTGACCAGCCTGTGCACACAGTCAGCAGGTCGGTGCCTGCTGGTGCTGCCCTGTGTGCATGGCGGTGCCCCGTGTGGGGGGGCGCGTGCTCACCCCGCCCCCACGGCCACCCTCGATGCAGACACACGCACACAATCAAAATGTGGAATTCATTTTCTCTCTTTATCCCTGGCTTCCTCAGAACAATAAAAGATGACCTTTGGGAGTCTGCCTGGACCCGAATCTCATCATTTCTGGGTTCTTTCCAGCCCGTCCGTGTGTTTGCACTTTCTGAAGGCCGACCCAGGCTTCTAGGGGTGGGCTCGCCTCTGCCTTCTGTTTTTGGGGGGCAAACAGGAGCACCGGGGCACCTTCCCCGGCCCCCAACTTGCCAAGCCCAAGGGGAGACCAATCTTGAAAACGGACAAACCTCAGCCCACGGCGACGGCTGTTTCTGTTCCCTGTCTCCGGGCACAACCTGCCCCCTCCTGCTTCTTCCGTGGACCGTTATTCCGTAAGCGTTTCCCTGTGATGCTGAATCACCTTTATAATGATCATTTAATGGCCCCACCGCGGAGCCCTGAGGCTCTCACTGAGCCACGTAGCTGCTGGCCGGCCCGGCCCTCCCTCCCGACGGCTCTCCTTGGGCTGCCCAAGTGCGCTTCCACGCGGCCCCTCATTCAGAGCAGCAGGTAGAGATGACTCCGTCACTCGTCTAAAAATACAGGCGTCACATCTTTGCAGTGCACACGTGACCGCAACGCGAGGGCAATCAAGACGTTCCTATTCCCGTCAGCTCCTTGACGTCCCGCTGTCCCCGGGGCCAGGCGGCCCCCGCCCTGCCTCTCCCGTTTCCCCTGGAGTCAGCAGAGTCCAATGAATTCTCAGCCACGATTTCCTCATGAAAAATAAACTTTATGAACTTCCGCCACTGGACAGCCAGGAGATGAACTCCCACAACCGGAGTCCCGGTCCTCAGAGGGAACCCCGCCTGCTAAGCCCTCCTGGAAACTGGCCTCTGCAGCCCCATGCTCCGTCCAGTGCCCAGAGTGGCCCCGGCCAGGGCTGCGGGGACACACGTGTTCCGGACCCCTCGCCGGCGTGTTTCTGCGTGAGCTGCACCCAGACACCCGAGGCAAGCGTCAAGGAAACTGCTCTGTGAGCTGGACCTCGGTGCATCGATACACTGGCTTGGGAGGCTCCAGGACCCACTGCCCTGGGCAGATTTCATGGCCACATGTGTGGGCTTGGGGGACTCAGGGGGAACGGGGTGCAGCCGTCACACCATGTCAGGCGAGAAACGGATACACTCTGGCGGCATCGGGGTCTCCCCAGGAGGTGGTTCTCAGGATCAAGGAGAAAACGCGGACGAGTGCAGAGAAGGAGACCGCCCTTGGCATGGTCCAGGGGGCTGGACGCCAGCCGGATGGATGTGCCCACGCGCAGTTACTGGACAGACGCCTGAAGAATGAGCAAGAAACGGCAGAGTTCTCTGCCCCTTGCATGTAGGGCCTGCCCGACACCAGTCCAGGATGAGTCAACCTTTCGGTGACAAACACGTCTGAAGCCCCAACAGGCAGCCAGTGGCGTCCCTGCAGAGACGTGCACCTCGGGCACTGACGTCCAGGAGGTCTCCAGATCTCCCTCCGGCAGAGTTCATGACCTCATCTATAAGCCAAAGGAAGCCAACAGCAAAAACCTCTTGGCGTCTCTCCTACCCGGCCAAGTAGAGCAGCTGAATCACTTTTAAAAATAAAAAACTCAGCGCCGGCAACGAGGAGGGACGTTGCAGAAGGGCTCCGCGTCGTCCCATCATTTTCACTAATAAGGGGATGATTTTTATATACTTAGCAACTCCCTGTAAAACAGGGCAAAGCTTGGGACATTTTTTACATTATTGTGATGATGCCACCGGCAATTAATTCTTCTGATTTGTTTTTATTAGTCTGGTGGTCGGGTCCAAGACTCAGAATATCTTTCCCCACCAGCAGACGGACGTAAGGAAATTATTTCCGTGCGGGTCCTGGCAAATTGTGGTGATGAACAGCGTGGCGGCGCGCACGTATTCAGACACACATTTCTCAGTCGTGGCAGGGAAAAGGCTGAAAAATTACGCGTCCATTGCTTTCTGTAAAAAGGCTCTCTCTTTCACATTTCCACTCCTAGGAAGGTCTTTGGCAGAGCGACGGGTCCAGTTCGCACTGACGTACTGGACAAAGGCGGTTCCAGGATCAATGGGGGCCGGCCGGGGGGAGCACCGCGTTCCCCTCTGACCCCCCCCCCAGCGCACCCCACCCCTACAGCTCTTGGAGCTCCTGGGTGGGGTCCTTGTCTCGCACACGCAGGAAGTATTAATCCCGGCCTCGGCCGGCCTCATGTGGCACATCCCCGGTTTCTGCTTCGTGCCCTGATGTGACGGTTCCGAATGGGAGCTTTGTGAGGGGTGTGACGGGAAGCGGTGGGATTGGGTGGCACCTGGGCGAGGCTATCAGTGCTCGGGGTGCAGCTCCCAGGCCCCCTTTTCCCTCCTGTCTTCCTTCCTCCCGGGGTGAAAGGCCAGACAGGCACTGGGCATCACACTCCAACCACGCAGGCCTCTGTGACCAGGAAGGAGGACACAGCTCCATCCTGTCTGTGTGCAGAGCCGAGGTCCCGGCAGGAGCTGTCCCCGGGCCCGGGCTTGGAAGCCCACCCAGGTCAGGTCTGATTCATGGCTTCAGCGTACCCCCCAGCCCCACTTGTGAGGGGTCCAGGCAGCACGTCCTCTCTGAAGCCCCAGATTCCTCCACGAATCCAGCAGCCGACCCCAGAGCTGTCAGGACCACGGGAGTCAGGGCAGGGGCCTGGGGTGAGGAGCCAACTCCTGACCCCGCACTTCTCTGGTTTCAAAACTCACCTCGCACAAACGTCCACACGCGGGCAGCAGCTGCAGCGCCCACGGGAGCCAAGCGCCGGCCGGCCGGTCTTCCCTAAGGGGGCCGCTGGCCACCTGCATCTTTTTAGCTGCATTTAATAATTCAGCTCAGGATGAATTTGCATGATTAACATAAAGCCTTGTGATTTTATTTTCTTTCAGCGTTTAAATACTGGAACGACCACCATTGTTTTCATTCTCAGAGGTTGTGAGCAAAACATCAAACTTGATTCTCGGATAAATAATTTCTAAAAAAATAATAATAATAAATCCCTACGCATGTCTTTTCGGGAGGCTTGCGCCCAGCCTGTGCCGCAGAGAGGGACGTTAACTCTTCAGCGGCAGAAGGCTGGTGGCTTTGGACACTGGAGCCGACGGGCCCAGGCCGCCTCTGGGCCGGGGGCCGCTGACCAAGGCTGCAGTCCCCTCCAAGGCTTTGTCCTTGTTATTGAGTGTGGACGGGGGGGTGGTCACCCCAGGTGGTGCTCAGGGATCACTCGGAGCCCAGGGGACCCTCGTGCTGCCAGGACGGAACCAGGGTCAGCCACGTGCGAGCACACGTCTGCCGGAGGTGCCGCCCCGGCCACCTTCCCCGGGTGCCAGTGAGGCAGCCGTCCTCTCGGCCACCGGCGCTGGACCAAACAGGTCAAGCTCAGACTGAGGCAAAAGCCCGAACCGGTGTGGGAGCGTCTGTGGGTGACGCGGATCGGCACGGGGCAGCCGTGGCTTCCGGGTGGGGGCGTATGGGGGGGTCACACTGAACCAGCCATCGCTCTGCCCAGCTGCGGCTCCACACGGACACGTCACCCGACCGCGCGGCCACCGGCGTGCCACGAGCACTGCGCGTCCCTGGCTGGGTGCCTGTGTGTGTGTGCCTGTGTGTCTGTGTGTGTCTGTGTGTGTTTGGGTACCTGTTTATGTACATACTTGTGCTTGTATGTGTGTATGTTTGTGTGTCTGTGTGTACATCTGTGTGTGCATGTCTGTGTATTTTGTGCTTTTGTGTATATCTGTTTGCGTCTGTGCCCGCGTATCTGTGCGCATGTTTGTGTTTGTGTGGACATTTACTTTTGTGTTTTATACGTCTGCTTGTGTGCGTCTACGTGCAAGGATCTCTGTATGCATATGTGCCTGTGTCTGTGTGTGCACGTGGCTCTATGTAGAAGTTTGTGCTGGTGTATAGCAGTTTGTGTGTCTGTGTGTGTGCATGTCTGTGTGTGCACGTGGCTCTGTGTGTGAAAGTTTGTGCTGGTGTATAGCTGTTTCTGTGTCTTGTGTGTGCATATGTCTGTGCGTGCAAGTTTGTGCTTGTGTATAGCTGCTTGTGTGTCTGTGTGTGTGCATATCTGTGTGTGCACATGTCTCTGTGTGTAGAAGTTTGTGCTTGTGTATAGCTGCTTGTGTGTCTGTGTGTGTGCATATCTGTGTGTGCACATGTCTCTGTGTGTAGAAGTTTGTGCTTGTGTATAGTTGTTTGTGTGTCTGTGTGTGCACGCTTGTGCTTGTGTACTGCTGTTTGTGTGTCTGCATGTGTGCATGTGTCTCTGTGTGTGTGCAAGTTTGTGCTGGTGCATAGCTGCTTGTGTGCCTGTGTGTGTGCATATTTGTGTGTGCACATCTCTGTGTGTAGAAGTTTGTGCTTGGGTACTGCTGCTTGTGTGCCTGTGTGTGTGCATATGTGTGCGCACATGTCTCTGCGTGCGCACGTCTGTGCTGGCGTGTAGCTGCTTGTGCGCCCGCGTGTGTGCGTGTCCGTACGCAGCTGCCCTGTCAGCGCACAGCCACGTGTGCCCGCCCTGATGCCGTCTCGCTGTCTCCCACCCGCAGGCACCATGGTCAGCAAGGACTCGGGCCGGTGCCCCCTGTCGGCGGCGGAGAGCGAGCTGGAGCCCGCCGCCTGCCTGGCGCTGGAGCTGAGGTACGCGCTGGACCCGGACCGGCAGATCAAGAAGCGGAACAAGGCGCTGCAGGTGCGCTTCAAGGACATCTGCGAGGCGCAGAGCGAGCAGCGGGGCGGGCCGGTGCCCGCCGGCCTGGGCGAGCGGCGTGAGGCCAAGCCCGTGTCCCAGCGGGCCGCCTACCGCAAGTACATGACGGTGCCCGCGCGGCGCTCCATCCCCAACGTCACCAGGAGCACGGGCGTGCAGACGTCGCCCGACCTCAGGAAGTGCTACCAGACCTTCCCGCCGGAGCGCAAGCGGGGGGCCCTCAAGGGGCTGCCCCCGGCCGCCGAGGACTTCCCCAGCGGCAGCGAGAGCGATGGCTTGGCCCTGGAGGCGCGTGGGGGCGACACTGATGGGGGCGCCGCCCAGGCCCGGCCCTGGGGCGCTGGCCACGTCTACACCACCGCCGCTTTGGTATTCCACTCCGAGGCGGACACGCCGGACCGAGCCGTCGGGGTCAACTGTGCCGAGCCGGGTGCCCGGTCCGACGGCGGCGGCTGCCGAGACGCCCCCCTCCCCCATGCCAGCCCGTCCCCCTCGCACGGGCCGGCCAGACTGGACAGGGCCACCCCCACGCCCGACCGGGAAGTCCCGGGCCCGGCCCCGGGCAGGGTCTTCAAGACGGAGGTGGCCGCGGTGTACGCCAAGCCCCCCGAGTCCGCCCTGGCCAACTCGGCGGCGGCCAGTGAGTGGTCCCTGTGCCCGGCGGCCACCGACGAGCAGAGGAGGGACACGCACGTCAACGGGGTCCAGGGGCCCCCGGGCTCGGCCGCGGCCTGCTCGCCGCCCCGGCAGTGCCTGTCCCCGCAGTGGGGTGAGCACCCCCCGCAGCCCGGCACCCCGCTGCGGGAGGAGCCGCGGCCGGCGGGCGAGTGCCGGGAAATCGTGCCTCAGACGGAAGTCGGGGACCTGAAGGCGCAGCTGCAGGTGATGGAGAACCTGATCTGTTCCAGCCAGGAGACCATCAAGGTGCTGCTGGGCGTCATCCAGGAGCTGGAGAAAGGGGAGGCCCACCGCGAAGGGTGAGTGCGCGCGCACGGCGCGGGCTGCCGGGGGGCCCAGAAGGGCTCCCACCCGTCGGTCCCTGGCAGGAGCCCCCCGAGCGCAAACACTGCGAGACTCAGCCACAGATTCCCCCGTGGTTCCGGTGTCCACCTGGCGTGTGCCCACGGCGGGTCAGCCCTGACCTCACGTGATTTCTTGAGCCCGCCACCGGGAGCGTCCCCCATGCTGAGCGCAGGGTGTCGGCCCTGAGAACCGCCAAGGGGGCCTGGCCGCCCCGCCCAAACCAAGTTGTTCATGGATTTGCTTGAGCGGGCCCAGTAACATCTCCACTGTGAGACTTGTTTTTGTTACTGTGTGTGTTTGGTATATCGGATACGTCACGGGGAGCTTGCCAGGCTTTGCGAGATCCTCTCGGTAGCTTGCCGGGCTCTCCGAGAGGGGCGGAGGAATCGAACTCGGGTTGGCCATGTCGGCCGCGTGCAAGGCAAACGGTCTACCACTGTGCTATCACTCCAGCCGCCCAAACCAAACAAGATGAAAAACCCCGAAAGGCAACTGCAACATTTCTGGCCTTGAGCTGCCGAGCAGGGCAGAGCCCCACGAGGGGTGGCCTGGGTTCTTGGTGGCTCTGGGGTCGTGGAAGGCTCCCGGCCAGGCCCTGGCCACGGACTGTGCCACGGAGGTCAGGGAGACCTGGTGCATTTGGAGCCAGTCCAGGGATCTGCCTTTGGGAACTGGATCCCGCTGGGGCCTGCAGTGCAGAGGGTTCCAAGTGATGGTGCAGAGGAGTGCGGCTGGGGGTCCTGGGTCAGGGCACGTGCTGGCTGGGCCTCTGAGACAGTGACCCGGCTCCCGGGCCTCTGGGCTCTCCACAAAGGCCGCGTTTGGGGCTTCCCCTCCCTTCTCTGGACAAGCCCCTGTGCCCACATGAGACAAGGGGCCGCTGTCCTGGGCTGGGGGCAGAGGTCGGGGAGTTGGCCCCCACCGCACCCTCTCTGTGGGCGCCGAATCTGGCAGCAGCAAATTCACAGACGTTGCTTAGAAGACAGAGCTGGGCAGGCCCGGGGGATGGGGCAGCCGGGGTGAGGAGCTGGCCCCTGAACATGCTGTCCACCGGGGGGTCCTCGGGGCAATGGGATCGCTCTCTGTTCTCATCAAGAAGGTGGACTTCAGGGGGGGGTGCACTGAGCTGTTGTGGGCACGCGGGGATTACGCTGAGGAGCTCGGAGCTGAGGCTTTGTGTGGTGGACGCCGAGGGCCGTGCGGATGGCCAGGGGTGGACGGTCCCCATGTTGGTCGCTGCGGGCAGGGCGGGTGCAGCCCTGCGGGGCTGGAGGGAGGGATGCCGGCTTCCTGGCTCTGCGTGGGCCCCTTCTCTAGGGTGTCACCCCCAGGACCCAGCCACCCGCCGCCTCCCCCAGCACCGTCTGAGAGCCAGGGCACGCTCGCCTGCCAGAGCACAACACCAACATTCTAGAATGTTCCAAAGCCAAAGCCCATCTCAGGCCACTCCTTTGGCTTCCATCCATCGCAGGCTCCTAGAATGGTCCATCCGGCCACCTCCCACAAGCCCCACCCAAGGCCTGCTGCGGACAAGGGCACTGGCCAGTGGGCCACATTCCGTGGCACACCTGACCACTCGGGACCCTCCCGCCCGACTCGGAACGCCAACCAGCGAGATAGAAGGATGCTGCCGTCAGTGGCCAGGGAGCACAGCTACCCGGTCAGCACCTCGTGAGAGGTCCCTGAGCTCTGCGGCTGCATTAGGTCAGGGGGTTCGGATCCCCTCCGCCGGCTCCAGCCCTGAGCACCCCTCACTTCTTCACGTGTCCACTGGGGCCACCGCCTGTGCCGCAGACGAAGGCCACGAGGCAGGAGGCCCCCTGGGGGGGGGGGGCGGGCAGAGCGCACAGTGCTCAGGGGGCTGAGGGCCTGGCACCAGGAACGCAGCCCGCCCGCTTGTCCCGGCCAGCCCTGCACTCCTGCCACATGGGGCAGCTGTCCCTCCCGCGGCCACTGAGACGCAGACTCCAAGGGGCCAGCTGCAGGGACAGCTCCTCGGACAAGCGGGCCACACCGGTGCAGGGGACAGACAGGCCCTCGCCCCGAAACCCTCCCCGTGACCCCCAACCCTCCCTTGCCCTGTGACCTCGCCGTTCTCAACCTGGCGGCAGGCGGGCACAGGCTGGGGTCCTGGCAGACCCCGCGGATTTCTGAGACCACCGGCCTGGTGACTCCCCCGCACTCAGGGGCCTGCGGGCTCCCGGCCCAGGTCACGCCTTTGCCAACAATTGGCATTTCCACCTTTTTTTTCCAGATCAGAGGAGGAAGCAGGGAGCCGGGTAGCCGGCCGGGGGCGCAAGAGCGGGTTCCTCACCCCTGCCCTGGCTTGTGGCGTTTCCTGGGTAGGGGAGTGAGGGCGGCTGGTGGGCCGGCGTGCCCTGCTGCAGGACGGACGCGCGTCTCTGTGGTACCAGGCACACCCAGGGGCTGCCGGGAAGCAGGAACCGAGACGCAGATCGAATTCCTTCTCACTACTGAGTCGCTTCATGCAGACCCAGTCGGCCCATGCTGCTGCGTTACTGAAGGCTTGCACAAGCTCTGCCCAGTGGCCCGAACCCCAGCACCTCCGTGTGCCCCCACCAGGACCCCCCCAGAGCTTGAGTTAGTGTGAACCTCACTGGCCCCAGGCAGTCCGGAAGACCCCGGCATACCAAGGTCCGTGCGCGAGGGGCCGCTTTGCGGGGGAGGGGGGGCGGGGGGTAGCTCCGTGCCCACTGCAGGAGGGAGGAGAGGGCTGGGGGAGCACCCGCCCGTGCTCCCGCCAAAGCTGCTCCCCCTCCTCTCTTCAGCTGCGTGAATCACCCCTCGATGTACACCTCGAGGCTGGGAGCAGAGCCAGCGGGCAGGGGGTCAGGGAGCCAGCTGGGACTCGCCGTTGTTTTTCCCACAGTCCTTGCTCCCCCACCCCCACCCCACCCCCCGCCACGCCACGCACACCCCCGCACACGGCCGGGGCTGCAGTGCTCCTAGCCAGCAGCGCGGAGGCCTCGCAGAGCGACAGCTGTTGGCGCCAACTCTCGCACCCACATACTCGGCGTCTTGATGGGCTCATTGTCTGGCGACAGCCTAATGACACTCTGCTCGGGGGAAGACCGGGAGCGACACGGGAGCCGGGCAGGAGCTGCCAAGCTGCGGGCAGGCAGGCAGGGCCGGGGAGGGGCGGGATCCGTGGCCAGGTCGTGCCGAGCGGCGCCCCTGCAGTGTCCGTGCCCTGGAGAGTGAGCCCCAGACAGCGTGAGTCACCGAGTCCGAGTCAGAGCGAGTGGGGGAGGAGGCCGGCCGCCCGCTGGTGGAGTCCTGGACAGCACCCACCCTGGCAGCGGGCGACCGGCAGAAGTCCGTCTCCCTGGCACCACTTACCCCCTCGGAGCTCAGCATTGGAAAGCGCTTGGGGTCGTGGGGTCAACGGGACACCCCCCTCTGGCCAGCCCAAGAGGGCACAGGGAGAGTGAAAGAGTTAATGCCCACCCCCCCACCCCCGAGAACCCAGGGCGGCTCTCCAGGCGAAGGAGAGGAAGAAATGAAAAGAGGGAGAAAGCAGGCCTGACCCTGGCCGCCTCCAGTCCGTCCTCCTCGGAAGCCTGGACTAGGGGTGGCCAGGGTGGGCAGAGGGGACAGGTGCGGTGGTCAGTGCACAGCAGGGCGGGCAGGATGCTTCCCAAGGACAGGGTTTCTCACACCCTTGCAGCCAGGTCCAGCCACACTGGGGCTGCTCTGGTGACGCGGGCCGTGGAGTGTGGATCACGTGACTGTGCCCTTGCACCGAGGCCGTGAGGACAGAGGCCACGTGCCCCCAGCCACGGGACTGGTGAGCGCTGCCTGCTGCCGGGGCAGGAAGTGGGTGTCCCCTGCAGATGGCGGGGGACGATGTGGCCACAGGTGGACGCTCCCGCCTGCCCGCGGCACCTCCCCCAACGAGCCCCCGGCTGCCCCGGCATTGCCGTGGACACAGCCCGCCCCAGCCTCTCACCCGGCTGCCGCGTCCCACCACGGCCACTCAGCATAGACGTTGCATCACGGTCCCCCGGTAGGCAGGCATGCGCACTAGCAGAAGTGGGCAAGGTTTCAGAGTGGACGGGGCCCTGTGGCCTCATGGCCGGGTCTGACTGTGACCCCCAAGGCGAGGCTGGGCACCCTCTGGAGGGACGACCCCACCCTGTGGCGAACCCACATCTCCAGGGCTGAGCCCTGCTTGTGGTGAGAGCTGCGACTGGCCCCACGTCTAAGAAGGAAGGAGCTGGAGTGCGTCCGTGTTCCGGAGCCTCTGGAGTTCTGGAGAAGGGCCGGGGAGGCCTGGCAGACACAGGGAATGGGGTCACGCGAGGAGCAGAGCACGAGGGTCCAGCCTGCCAGTCCCGAGCACCTCCCGTCCCTCAGTGACGGTACAGGCCCAGCTCAGAGCTGCCCAGGGAGCCTTGGGGGAGGGTGGGGGTCTGGGGCAGAGCCACAGCACCACCAGACTTGCTCCCTGGCACAAGGCAGTCCAGGAGTCTGGGGGTGCTGGGGCCAGGAGGCGGGGTGGACCCCTCTCACTCCCTCGCCCGCACGGGTTGGGGACACGGCATTTCTACCGAGGACTCAGGTCCTGTAAGGCTTCAGCACACGGCATCCCGGCCCCTCCTGGGAGTCCCGAGAAGGCTGGACGTTCAGGTCCCTCGGCCCTCTCCCGGCTGTCGGCCAGGCCAGGGGGACGCACGGGGGGCTCCCTTCCCACTGGATCAGGCGTCAGGAAGGCTGGAAGCTGGCCCTGCCTTCCGTAGCCCACCCCTGCGGCTGCTTTTCAGGGAAGCTTTTCTGTCTCTTTCTGGGAACGACTCGCGGCTTCTGTGGTCAGGGAGAAACAGGCGCGAGCAGAGTCTCGCAGGAACGGATCCTCGGGTCTAGAACAGACACACACACACACACACACACACACACACACACACACACACACACCACCCCCGGAAGGTTCTCC